TACCCCCCACGATTTCTGAGGGGGAGGGTGGTGTTCACTTCGCTCGAGAGTTCCCGAACGAAGTGAACCCCACCCTCCCCCTCAGAAATCGTAGGGGGTAGGGGTAGGGTTCGCATGTGGCCCCCTAGAAGTAACAGCTTGCCCTCCAGGAGCTGCAAGTTTGTTTTAGGATTCAAGGTTTCTGGAAGGATCCATATGTGCCAACTGTCCTGTCGGCGCGCGCCACGGGGGGACGTGAGAGGGGGGGCCGGCCTTCTCAGAAGGGGCGACGGGGCTTCTCAGAAGCCCTCCGCCCCTCGGGGAAGCCAGCGTGGCGTCGAAGGCTCAAGAAGCTTCCCAGAAGGCTGGAAGCCTTCTGAGCCTTCCAAGGAGCCTCCTCCTCCTCGTCCTCCTCTCCTCCTCCTCCTCCTCCTCCTCCTCCTCCTCCTCCCCCCTCCTCCTCCTCCCCCTCATTCTTCTCCTCCTCCTCCCCCTCCTCCTCCTCCTCCGCGGCCGCACTCCTCCGCTGTCTCCCGCCTGCCCGTCTCCAACCCGCCGGGCCGCGCCGCTGCTCAGACTACACGGACGCGGTGCGCGCTCGCCATTGCCGACTGCCGACTCGCCACTTCCTGAGGAGATCTCTGCCACCAAAGGGGGCCGGCTGGCCTGCAGGGGGCGCCGGCGCCCGTCGGGCCAAGGCAGAGGGGACAGGCCGTCTCGGCAGGCGGCGGGGCTTCACGGCAGCCCCCCGCCCTCTCGAGAAGCCCCCTCGTGGCTCTGGGGAGGGCCCTTTCCCCCCCCACCCCCCCCGTGTCGCGCCGCCGGCTGCCGCCTCCACCCAAAATTGGGGACCTCTGCCCCTGGGCCCCCGCCGGCCAGGTCCTGGACGTGCTCCTGGGCGCGCTGCAGCAGTACGAGCGGCTCCCGCCACGCGCCCTGCAGGCCCCCCGCCGGCCCCCGCGCGCGCCGGGCCGTGCGCTCCGCGGCGGCGGCAACGACGACGGCGGCGGCGGCGGCGGCAGCAGCGGCAGCGACGGCGGCGAGGGCGGTGGCGACGGCGATGGCGGCGGACGCGGCGACGAGGGCGAGGGAGGGGACGGCGGCGGCGGCAGTGACGAGGGCGAGGGCGACGACGCCGGCGGCGACGGCGGCGACAGTGGCCACGGCGGCCGTGGTGTCCTCGGCGACGACGACGAGGGCGAGGGCGAGGGCGAGGGCGACGAGGAGGTGAATGCAGAGGCTTGCCACAGCGGTCGGCCCGCGACGCCCATGGCGGGCCATGAGGCCGTCCAAAAAGCAGCCCAGGGCGGAGAGCTGGCCAGGATGGGTGCGGGGACCGTTTTTAGCCGGGAGGAACGTCGACGGCGGCGGCGGCGGTGTTCTTGACGACGGCGACGGCGGCAACGACGACAGTGACGACATCTTTTGCGCGGCGGTTGCGACGACGGCGATCATCTTGGCCATCGTCATCGTCGCTGTCGAATCGGGAGATTTTGCCTGTGTCGGCTGACCTCGTCGTCCACCTCGTCGGCATCGTCAACGTCTCCGTATTATTTCAACGACGTTCATGTCCGCGCATGCGTTGCGGCAGTGGGGGTAAAGGGTCGAGTCGGCGCCTTGAGGCTGATCTTCGTCATCATCGTCGTCACCTATCGGATGACGGTGACATCATAGTCATGGTCGTAGTCTTGGTCGTCACCAAGTTTATGAAAGAGGAGGAGAAGGAGGAAGGGAGGAAGAGAAGGAGGAGAGGGAGGAAGAGTATGAAGAGGTTGGGGAAGGGAAAAGGAGGAGGAGGAGGAGGAGAAAGGAGGAGGAGGAGGAAAAGGAGGAGGAGGAGGAGGAGGAGGAGGAGGAGGAGGAGGAGGAAGGGGCCCGGCCACTCCGACGCCAGGAACGAGGAAGGAGCGGAGGGGGGGGTTCAAGCTTGCGCAGGCGGGCACACGCAGCAGAAACTGGCCCCTGCGGCCGCCGCTAGAACGGCGGCACCGTCACTACGGCGATGATCAGGAGGGAGCCGAAGGAGCGAGGACGGAGCGGGTGGATAGCAGCGCCGACGAGGGCGGGGGACCGTGCGACCACCCCGCAGGAGCAGCAGCACCGTGAGCGCGCTGCGCTGGGAAAGAGCGAGACGGCGAGAGGGGGCGGGGGAGGAGCCAGAGAGAGAGAAGAGAGGGAAAGAGCCGCACCGGCAACGACCGAAAGCGAGGTTTGGCCTCGGAGGCAGCGGCCTGAGAGCCACGGTGAAACACAGACGATACATATATATATATATATATATACACACACATACCTATACGACCACCCTTCGGGCGATAAGGAGGTTGTGGGGGGGGAGAGAGAGGGGGGGAACCAACATCGGACTCAATTGATCTCATAATCGATCTCACTCAATGGGATAACACGGGACACCACGGGACACTTGTCGATCTCACTATCGATCTCACTCAACGGGACACCACGGGCCACCACGGGACACCGCGGGACACCTCTCGATCTCACTATCGGTCTCACGATCGATCTCACTATCGATCTCATTCAACGGGACACCATAGGGCACCACGGGACACCACATCGATCTCACTATCGATCTCACTATCGACCTCACTCAACGGGACACCACGGGACACTTGTCGATCTCACTATCGATCTCATTTTTTGGGACACCACGGGACACCCCGGGGCACCATATCGATCTGAGTATCGATCTCACTCCACGGGACTCCACGGAACACCACGGGACATTTGCCGATCTCACCATCGATCTCACTATCGATCTCATTCAACGGGATACCACGGAACACCACGGGACACTTGTCGATCTCACTTTCGATCTCATTCCACGGGACACCGCTAGGGCCATCGCCAGACGGAGGAGAATCATTTGTCTCGACTTCGCCCTAGCAACGGCGGAGGACACCACGGGACACCGCTAGGGCCACCGCCGGACGGAGGAGAATCATTTGTCTTGACTTCGCCCTAGCAACGGCGGACACCACGGGACACCACATGACACCGCGGGACACCGCTAGGGCCACCGCCTGACGGACGGAGGAGAATCATTTGTTTTGATTCCGCCCTAGCAACGGCGGGTTCATTCCTTCCTCTCGCGTGCCCTCGCAGCTTCGCCTCGCCCGCACGCACGACACGAACGAAACGAAACGATTTCCCGGTTGGGGTCTCCGTTCCACTGCAATCTCACCCCCCCAATTTCCGATGTATTTGTCCCCCAGCGGAAGCCGCCCGAAGGTTGGTGGAAGCCGGCAGAAGAAAAGCGTGCGTCTCAAGGAGATGACAGCATGCTTGGGTTCAGGGTTTCAGGAATCGGCAGTCTCATGATATCTATGTATATAGTGTGTATACATACATCGATGAATGCAAACATACATGCATATACATGCATAAACATACTAAACAACTGCATACAAACGACTACGTAGGCATACCTATACATACATCGATGGACATGCATGCATGCATGCATGCATGCATACATGCATACATACATGTATGCATGCCTGCATGCATGCATGCAGGCATGCTTGCACACACACACACACACACATACATGCATATAAACATGTACACATACACACATACGCACATGGATGCACACATACGCAAACACATACGTACACACACACCTGCATGCATGCATGCATGCATGCATGCATGCCTGCATGCATGCATGCATGCATACATACATACATACATACATACATACTACCTACCTACCTACCTACCGACCCACCTACCTACCTACCTACATACATACATACATACGTACATACATATATACACACATACATTCATACATACATGCATACATACATGCATACATACATGAATTCATGCAGGCATGCATGCATACATATAAACATGCATACACGTACATACGTATATGCATGCATACACGCATACCTGCATGCATGCATGAGTGCATGCATGCGTGTATGTATACATATAAACACACATACATATATGCACGCATGTATTCATCCATACGTATAGATATGTACATACTCAATCATACGTACATGCATACATGCATACATGCATAAAACACACACAACCAAATAAACATACCGACAGACAGACAGACAGACAGGCAGGCATGCAGACATATATACATACATGCATGCATACGGACATGCGTGCATTATACATACGTCCATGCATGCATGAATGCATACATACCGTATGCACGCGCGGACGTACGTATGCACATTCAGATACACGCACATGCATGTATGCATGCATGCATACATGGATTAATGCATGCAAGCACGCATACACACAAACAGACACACACACACACACACACATACACATACATACATGCATGCATGCATGCATGCAGACAGACAGACAGACAGACAGACAGACAGACAGACAGACGGACGGACGGACGGACGGACGGACGGACGGACAGACGGACAGACAGGCAGACAGGCAGGCAAACAGAAAGACATACGCGAACACGCGCATACACACAGCACAACACTCACATAACAGAGTGCACGGCAGACCAGCACATAACGCACAACACAAAGCACGCAGCACATTGCAAAACGAGCATCCGATTTATTTCAGTGGCCATCTTGGCTCAAGCCCTCGGGCTGCCGCGAGCGCGCGGCCGACGGGGCAGAAGGGCGCGGCCGCCAGCCATTGACCGTGGATCGCTCGATCGCGCCCTCGGCCCGAGAATGGACGCGGGCACGGACCTGCGCGTGCACGCGCGTGGCCGCCCGAGCCCGCCAGATTCCGCGAGGCGGCCTGCTGCCCCAGCGGCGCGCCCCTGCTCACCGAGGGATCCGCGCCGCGGGGCGGTCGCCATGGCGCTGGCAATTCTGGCCCTGGGGCCCAGGCTCACGGAGCCGAGGTGGGCCTTCGTGGCTGGCGCCGCCCCCACGGCCCGCTGCGCCGCGCCTGCCCGCGGCGGCGGGGCGGCGGCGAGGGCGGCGGCGCTGGAGACGGCCGAGCTCGTCGCGGCAGCGGGGGAGCTGGAGGCAGAGCTGGGCGCGCGGACGACCCGCTCGCGGGACCTCCGTGCCTTGTTTGCCGCCGGGCGGCCGCCTTTCTGCGCTGTGCGAGGCGGGGGCGGTGGGGGGCTCGAGGCCGCCGTGCAGGCATTCGCCGCGCTCACAGCGGAAGCGCGGGAAAGACGCGGAGGGGGGCCTTTGGCGCCAGTCCACCTGGGGCCCCTTGCCGCCCTGGCGATGCGGCACCCGGATGGGCGCGAGGTGGTGCTGCTGGGCAGTATGCACACGAGCTACATGGACGGGGAATTCCCCGTGGCCGCAGCAATCCGGGAGGCCGTGGGGCTGCTGCAGCCCAGCGTGGTCGTGGCTGAGCTCGACGAGGACCGGGCGACGGACGCCCAGCTCTTCCCGCAGAGTTTGAGGGCGAAGCTCGACGTGCACACCCGCGCCGTTCCAGCCACCACCGTGGCGCCAGAGGGGGAGCTGTGCATGGAGCAGTCTGTGGTCGCCCGCGCTCTGGAGGAGTTCGGCGCGGACAAGGTGCCCAGCCTGGAGGAGGTGCGGCGAGCCGCCACGGTCCTCTGGGAGCGCAGCAGCGACGAGCGTTGTTTCGACAACGCCTTCTATCTTCAGGCGTACGAGTCCCAGCTCCGGGGCGACTTCGCGCGGGACATGCGCGCGACAGTGCAGGCAGCCATCGAGAGTTGAATGTCCCCTCTTTGGACCCCAAACAATCAGTTTTTGTACCCTGGGTGTGCGAGCGATGTGGTGCAAGCTATGCGCGGTGCAAGCTATGCGGTGCAAGCTATGCAGTAAACGTTGCGTGGTATGAACAACATAAGCTGTGCGACGCAAACTCTGTAATGCAAGCAGCACAAGGCGCCTACGAGGAGCCCATGACCGCAGACCCGCCCAGCGCACAGGGCGCCCACGAGGCGCCCACGGCCACCCACCAGGCAAAACCTTGGCAGATCCAGCCAGAGCACGGGGCACCCACGAGGCGCCCACGGCAGCCCACCAGGCGAGACCTCGACAGGCCCACCCACCGCACAGTGCGCCCACGAGGCGCCCACGGCCGCCCATGAACTAGGCGAAGCCTCGGCAGCCCCGCCGATCTGTTCTGGAATAGGAAGCACCCCATAAGTGCAAGCACTGTTTAGGGGAGAAGGGATCCCGAGGGGAAGAGAGGGTCCTGAGTCCCGAGGCTTCTCGCCGCGTTCGGCCTCCCGGGGGCCCCGGGGGTCACCCAAGAGCGAGCTCGGGGTGAAAGGTCGATCCTGGGGAGGGCGGAAAAGCCCGGGGGCCCCAAGGACCCGTCGGGCCCCCCTCGCCTCCTCCGCTGCCTGAGGCGGCCGCGGACGTGGGTGCCCCGCTCATCCTGGGCGACGCGCCGATCGCCGCCGCCTTCGGCCCGGCCGCCCTGGCGGAGACACGAGCGCTCTTCGCGCAGCAGCGGGAGGCGATGCGGGAGTTCCTGGCGGACCGCGCGGGCTTCCCGCTCCTGGAGGCCGCGAAGCGCCGCGTGATCCGCGGGGCGCTGGAGGACCGCCGCGGCGGCGACCAGGAGCTGTACGTGCGGGCGGGCTGGCTGCTGGAGCCCACGGGGCTCGGACACGAGCGCATGCGCCAGGGCCTCCTGGAGGTCCGCGACCCCTTCCTCGCCGCCGCCTTCGACGAGCCCGCGGCGCGCGCCGCGCTCGAGCCCCGCGCGGGCGCCGGCGCGGAGGGCCCGCCGCTGGGCGTGGCGGTGCTGGGCGCCGCGCACCTCAAGGGCGTGGCCGCGGCGCTGGCGCAGGGCGGCGGCTACGAGCCCGTCGGGGCGCCGGCGCGCGGCTGGCCGGAGCTCCGCGGGGGGGGCGCCGCGAAGGGCGCGACGCGGGCGGGGCGGCCGCGGGCGGGGCGGCCCCGCAAGGGCGGCGGGGGCGGCTTCCGGTAAAGGAGCTCTCCCCTGCCTTCTCCCCTGCTCCAGTGGCTCGGCGTGACTTCCCCCCCTCCCCCTCCCTGGCTCCCTGCCCTGCCTGCGTCGCCTGCCCCATCCCTTCTCCCCTCCCTCGGGTGGTGCTCCCTGCCCAGAGGTCCTCCCTCCCTCCATCGCTCCCTCTCGCCATTCTCCACGACACCCACTCCGCCCTCGTCCCAACTCCCAATCCCATCCATCCTCCAGCCTTTCAGGAGGTGCATGGAGGCCCAGGAAGGCCTGGGGAGGCCCCCCTGAAGCGACCAAAAACGCCACTCCTCGGACCTCGATGTTCGATCCTCCCCTGAATCCCAAAGATAACGTGGACCCGCAGAGGTCTCGACCCCTCGACCCCTTCCTGGGACAGGTATTTTTTTTTAACTTGTGATCCTGAATAGTTTTTCACAGTCCCAGAGCCCATGGAGGCGCTTCAATTGCCAAAAGCTTCCGCCGTCCTTTCACGACGAGGGGTCTGGGCTCCCCTCCACCAGTCCCCTCTCTCCTCCTCCCTCCGCAGACTTCGCCTCCGTCCCCTGGTGCCCCCCACCTCGCCCCCCCGCGCGGCCTCAGGCCCTCGCGCGGCTGGTGCTGGACTTGTCCATGGACCCTGCGGCCTGCGCCCGACCCGCGACGCCGCGGGGCCGCGGCTGCTGCCGCCACTGCTGCCGCCACTGCTGCCACCACTGCTGGTGCTGGCACTGCCAGAGGCCACCGCCTGCTGCTGCCACCGCTGCCACCGCTGCCGCTCCTGGCTCACCGCTGCCGCTCCTGGCTCAGCTGTTGCGACCCCTGCTGCTGCTGCTGCTGCTGCTGCTGCTGCTGCTGCTGCTGCTGCTGCTGCTGCTGCTGCTGCTGCTGCTGCTGCTGCTGCTGCTGCTGCTGCTGCTGTTGCGACCCCTGCTGCTGCTGCTGCTGCTGCTGCTGCTGCTGCTGCTGCTGCTGCTGCTGCTGCTGCTGCTGCTGCTGCTGCTGCTGCT